CCAATGGCCTCGCGAAAACCAGTTTCCCAAAGGTTCCCTCAATTCCAGTCGCGAACAGCTTACATGGCGGCTAATCAGCAACAGCAACAGCAGCAGCATCAAGAAATGCAGCATAGGGTCCAAGCTGCCGTGCATAAAAGTGATTCGCAAGGCATCATGTCGTCGGCTGGAGCAGGAGCAATGCCACCGAAGTCACGGCAGTCACCATTGCCAGTTGTGTATGATCAAACACCAATGGCTTTGGACAGTAGAATGTTGCCGAATCAGCAGCTTAAGACGATGCTTCGTCAGAGTAAGCTGTTTTCGACTGTGAGTGTTGCTCGCGAAGGGGTTTGCTTCACTGTGAACAAGCTTTTTTATTTTTGTTGTTTGTTAATTGCATCGTTTGCTCTGTGTGTGTGAGACAAGTGCTTTGTAATGTAGTGCCGTTGTGTGCCATTTCCCTCTAATCGAATTGAGTAAGCTATTTAAGGGTTTGTCTGCATATTCAGCTCGTTCGCTGCAATAACTCTTGGTAGTGCCTTTTTCCCAGGTTCTTCGCAGCAGCATTCTGCGCCGTCCTCTTACACCGGTAGCTTCGCACGCAGCTTGCCCTCCTTCGAGTCTAGTTTTGGGATGCTGTTTGCCTCTCGCTGCAGCACCTCGGTCCAGTCGCCGATGGTGTCCACTTCGCCGCCTGTGGTGGCTTCAGCAGCCAGCACAACAGTTCCGACGTCGCTTTGCGCACCCCCTGCCCTTCCCTATTCTTCGACGTCTGTTTGCCATCATCATCGTCAACATCAACATCATCACCGTCATAAAAGTCAAGCCCATCCACCAGCACCGCCATCCCGCCCACCACCACCTCCTTCTTCTCCGCCACCGCCGCCGCAGTGCCAACCCGCAACCACTGCCGCCTCCATTATGGACTCCTCACTTGTAGGTTGTCTGGAATTCGCAAAGCGAGGGCTGGACTTATGCAACCGCGTGACCACTAAATGTGTCGAGTTTTAGAAATTGACGCAAAGTCAACAAGTTATGGGAACGCTTGCACACCCCTTTGATGGCGTGTCGTGTGTTTCAAAGCAATTGTGGAGAATGCCATCAGTTACTTAATGCACCTTGCATCTTTTTGTAGAAGCTAACTTGGTTTTTACTTTTTTTTTCAAGCAACGCAGTCCTTGCCATCCCCAATTGGCACAGCTGCCGACACCGCTAAATTCGTCTACCACGTCGTCTGCTGCAGACATGGAGGAGGCGGGTTTCGATCCGCCCGTCGTCTACTTGCGCGTCGTCGGTGGTGGTGCAGGCAAGGAGAAACCTCGTTTCATTCCACACCACCACCGTCATCATCACCGGCAGCAACATCAGCAGCAAAAACATTTAATGGAGTGGGTTGGGAATATGCCGTCTCAAGTGATGTCTAACATGGTAACAATGCCACCCCCACAACCGACGCCTCCCATCCACCTCCCCAGGGTGTCCCAACAACCGCAGATGCAGCCGCGGCCATTCCAGCAACAAATAACGCCACATTCTATGGGTAAGTGGTAGTGTCGTCGTTGGACGTGCCGCGTGGTTGACTGCTGTCGTGACGAGGCTGCATTAAGGTGCCTTCTGCACACCATACTCTCAGCTTGATTGACGCCTATGGACTTAGCCCCACTGAATAGAATTTACTGATGTTTTTATTCATCACTTTTGTTCTAGGCCAGTTCCAGTTTGCGTCTGAATATCGGTGTCCGGCAGAGTGTCCGGTGCAGTTCCTGATCGTAGAGAGTCAGTCAATTCAATACCACGTCGGATATTTCAGCCCCGTGTATTTAAGAGTTTGGCAACCGGCAACTGGAACTAATACTGCTTCGACATCTGCAGGTAGAAGCGGCTATTCGCAGTCAATGCCACTACAGCCCTCTGGTTTATATGAGCGGGCACCAAGACTGCAACCGTCGCCATATGTGACATCGCAGAATCCACAGTATAACCCATACGGTATGCCACTCCAGTCGCACTATTCGGGATATCATCCTCCTCCTACACCTCACTCTCACGTTGCGGGTCACATGCGTCGTGATGATGGTAAGTAGAGGTTTGACGTCGGGAGCGATAACATGCTTTTATGTGGGATTTGTAAGTGATGTGAAACTCTTTCAGACAACTCCCCTTGTCTGGATGTGCCGTGGTTTTGCCGGCAGTTGCGTGTTGGAGTGGATAGTAATTGAAAAGCAAGTTTGTTGTTCATTTTAGATCAGTCGCCTCATGAGGGAAGTTTGTAGAAATGGGACATGTGGTGTCAAAGTACTAGTACTAGTACTATCCATATCACTGCTATACTTAATCTCGTTTTGCACACTCACCTTTTGGCCCCACCACTACTTAGCTCCTCGATTCTTTAACTTACCTAAAGAGGACATCGTGTGCACCGCTCTTCCACTCTCTAATCTATTTCCATTGGCTGGATTTACACCAAAAGACCTCCTTTTCTACATGTTTTGAAAAGTAAATTCTGCTTAGTTGGCTTTTCTGCCTTTTGTTGTCTAATTGGTGGACACCTGTTTAGTTTGCATTAATCTGCACCGACAAAACGTGGGGAATAAGCATGTGAATGTTGTTGCTGGTCCAGGCAAATTTGATTGGTTGGTTGCCTCAACATAAATCAATGCAAAATCGAGGATGCAGTCACCGGCATGGCGAATGCACTGTTGTATATCTCTTAATATTCTCCTTCATTTCCAACAATCCAGTTTATCGGTCAACACTTTTCAGTCATGATTTCAATTGATTTGCATGTGTCCACTTTGAGTTAAGCAGGTTGCATTTAAATGGCGAGTCTGGCACACCAGACCAGTGGACAGGTGAGATGACAGGTTACATAAAAGGGATTACGTCAGGTCTGCGTTTAGGACAAGATCGGAATGAACTTGTCAAGAGCTTGCGTGGGGTGTGGAGGGTAGTGTTGTTGTGATTGCTTGCCGGTAATGTTCTCGTTTTGGCGGGGGTCATAGGTAATGTCTACCGACTCGTTAAGAGAGAACAGAGGTGTTCACACACGTGATGGGGCCTGTGTTGTATGGCAGTCAACCAGTGTGAATACTTGATCCAGTTAATACAAACTGCCTAAGTTTTCTTGTCAAGTCGATAACACAGAAAGATATGACGTAGTCCAGCTGACTACATCAGCACATCACATGACTACTTGGGTCAATGGCGGCTTGAAGAGAACCCATCAACATCACAGATGCCTCTCTTATGCTACAACTACTCCTATCGACTCAAGTTTGAAACAGCGCACCCACAATCTTGCTTTCATTACTCTTTCCAATCTGGTGGAATTTCTAAGCAATCGAAAACAATGTTGAGAAGTTTATTCAACCATGACAAAATAAAGAGACACACTGATTTAAGTCTAAATCCCCTTAGTTTGGCTCCCTGTATTGAAGGTTTGGGAAGTAAGATCCAGTACGTCTGTCGGGATTAATGCACCAGCTTAACAAACTGCCTATTGGCTTTAAACAATCACGTGCACCAACGGCAGATCCCTGATTGGTTGAGAGCACCTCCAATCCGTGCAAACTCAGCAGTGGCAAATTTAGGGACCTTGGAGGCACAGTTTCTAAGCGACGTTCCCTAAAGCTTGTGGAATTTCACAGCATCTCTACGAAACCACCGTTTCCAGTATTTCACACACCAACCCGAAATCGAAACAATGGTGGAAAATAGTGACGACTTCATGGAAAGAGAGTACACCAGATAAATGTGGCAGACAGTAATAGTAACCTGGCTGATGATTCGGCGTGTGCATTTCTCCAAATGGAAACGCACTTCTTAAAAAAGTGCCTATCCAGCATGCAAGACAACCATCTGACTCCAAAAATAGATTGCATTGAGCTATTGAAATGATAAGGAACGATTCTACTGGAAAGAACTACATTCGTTATGATGAAGAGGGGGTTGGCTCAAAGCACTGATTTCTCTTCATCAATAGTGATCGAACGGCTTCGAAACTACGGTGTGACGAGCAGTAACGAAGCAGCTGTTTTATTGCTTTGGTAACCGATAGGAAGTTGTGAGGTGTGATCGAGTTGTCGTGTTGCACATAGGCCACGGAGCGTGTGCAGCTGATTTACGACGCACGCCTTGCCAAATGCGTGTTGATCAGGCGTTGCGAAGGCAGAGGTGAGGTAGATTGGATGAGGAGGATGCGAAGGGTTGATTCCGAATCAGCCAATGGA